CAACTATGGAAGATCTTTATGAACAAACAATAGAAAGAAGCGAGCAAATAAAAAAAGCTGGCTATAATTTAATAGAAATGTGGGAATGCAATTGGATTAAATCTAAAGAATATAAAGAAGAAATGAAACAAATTAAAAGCAAATATAAAGAAATTAAAGAACTTAATCCTAGAAATGCGTTCTTCGGAGGAAGAACTAATGCTACAAAACTAAAAGTTAATGGAAAGAAAATGAAATATATAGATATTTGTAGTTTATATCCAACAGTACAATGTTATGATGATTATCCAGTTGGACATCCTACTAAAATATTCAAACCTCCTACATATAATTCAAAATGGTATGGTTTAATAAAATGTGCAATTTTACCACCAAGAGGTTTGTATCACCCTATTTTACCTGTTAAAAATAAAAGGAAATCTGGCGATGAAAAACTAACATTCCCATTATGTCAATTGTGTGCAAAATTAAATAATCAAAAAGATAAGTGTACTCATACGGAATCTCAAAGAATTATCAGAGGAACCTGGTGTACAAACGAAGTAAGAAAAGCAATTGAAAAAGGATACAAAATAATAACTATTGATGAAGTTTGGCATTTTGAACAAAAATCGAGTTATTTGTTTAAAGGATATGTAAAAGCATTTATGAAAATAAAGATAGAGACAAGTGAATGGAGAAATGATTTTGAATCAGAAGAAGAATATAGAAAAGCCGTAAAAGAAAATCTAGGTATTGAATTGGGTAAAATAGAAAATAATCCTGGAAAGAGAGCTGTTGCAAAAATCTGTTTAAATTCCTTATGGGGTAAATTTGGTCAAAGACAAAATATGGGGGCAACAGAGTATGTTACAGATATTAAGAGATTTTATGAGATCTTATTAGACGACAGACTTGATAATATACATATCAATGAATTAAACGAAAATATGTTACAAATTGATTACAAGTATAAAGGTTGCTATGTAGAAAATGATTTCACTACCAATATATTCATAGCGGCTTTTACAACCGCAAATGCTAGACTAAGATTGTACGAAATGTTAGACATATTAGGAGAAAGTGTAATATATTATGATACAGATAGCATTGTATATATAGATAATGGTAAAAACACTGTTAAAACAGGTTGTCTATTGGGAGATTGGACCGATGAATTAGGTAAGGACGTATGGATTGCTGATTGGGTATCAACAGGTCCAAAAAGTTATTGTTATAAAACTAACACAGGTAAAGTTGTTTGCAAAATTAAAGGATTTACATTAAACTATGAAACGTCCGAAAAGATTAATTCCGATAGCATGAATAATATTTTAGAACACAAAGACAGTAAAATCGGTACACAATACATATAATCGAATTACCAGAGATACTAAAACTAAAGAACTTTTAAATAAAATAGAAACAAAAGAATTTGGTTTTGTTTATGACAAGAGAGTTATTCTGGAAAACTTTGATACAATACCATTTGGATTTTAATACTTTTAATTGTTATATCTATAATTAAAATTAAACCAATCAATTAATAACAGATTTATGCAACACAATATAGGGAAGAATGGGCCACCTTAAGACACGCGCACCATGAGACAAGGGTTGTCATTTCAAAGTTCGCGCGTATTTTAATTTGTCAGTAGGTGGTGTCGAATGTGGTAGACAGTCTTCTTGCGCAAATCACAAGTTGTCGTATTAAAATTCTGTAGTTTACCGAAAATATATTAATTTTTATTTTTGTGGGCAAGGTAAGTTTCTCGCGGATATTACTTTGAAGTAAAAATTTGGTAACTTTGTATAATATTTATACGTTGCCGTAATGTGGTCAAACATCAAGGTTATACATGTGTTGATTCTTGTAAAATCCAAGGTGATACAAACATGAGGTAGTATCATAACTGTCGTTTCAAAGAAGCACGTCTTTAGGCTTCCTTGAGACACACATGAATGGGCCACTATGAGACTGTCTCACAGTGGCCCATGTGGTTGGTATATGTGTGCATGCTAACATTATTCTATCTAGGTACGTGTTTTTGGATAATATATTGCATGCAACTATTAAATTTCAGAATAAAAATGTCCAGGGGAAGAAAAAGAAAAAGTACTAAGGGACTTTTCACTGAGGCTGCAATGAAAAATGCCGTTAAAGATGTAATATCAAACCACATGAGTTTAAGAGAAGCTGCAGAGCGAAATGATGTAAAGTTTCAAACTCTGGCACGTTATGTAAACAAACAGAAAAAATCTCCAAATGAATCAATACACATGAAACCAAAATATGATACAAGAAGAATTTTTACCGATGAGCAGGAAAGTTCGTTGGTTAATTATGTCTTACAGTGTTCAAAGATGTGCTACGGAAAATCGACAAAAGATGTGAGAATCTTGGCTTATGAATTAGCTATTGCTAATAACGTAAATGTTCCTAAGTCATGGAAGGACAACAAAAAAGCTGGCGTAGATTGGTTAAATGCTTTTATAAAACGTCACTCCAATATAAGTATTCGGCAACCAGAAGGATGCAGCTTATCACGAGCAACATCTTTTAATCATCATAAGGTAAATGCTTTTTTTGATAATTTAGAACGTGTCATGCAACGATGTGATAGTTTTTCCGATGGAAGTCGGGTGTATAACATAGATGAGACCGCAACAACGACGGTCCAACGATCCAATAAAATTTTAGCACAGAAGGGTGTAAAACAAATAAGCAAATGTACGAGTGGTGAACGTGGTAGTTTAGTAACCACTTGCTGTATTATAAACGCTCTAGGAAACACAGTACCTCCAGTTATGGTGTTCCCAAGAACTCATTTTAAAACCCATATGATACAAGGGGCTCCTGCAGGAACACTAGGGTTAGCTAATCCCAGTGGATGGATGACGAGTGAACTGTTTGTTGATGTCATACAACATTTCATTAAACACACCTCAAGTTCTGTTGATAGACCGACATTACTTATCATGGATAACCATGAAAGCCATTTATCCATTGATTGTATAAATTTAGCAAAAGAACACGGAATTACACTTTTAACGCTGCCACCGCACTGTTCGAACAGACTCCAACCCCTAGACGTATCAGTTTATGCCTCCTTCAAAGCTTTCTATAACGCAGCGATAGATTCATGGATGTTAAGACATCCTGGAGTACCATTCACAATATACCAAGTCGCCGAATGTGTAGGTGTCGCATTTGAAAAATCTATGACGCCGGCTAATATCAAATCAGGCTTCAAAAATGTGGGATTTACCCATTTGATAGAAACATCTTCACCGAGGACGATTTTTTAATAAGCAACGTCACGGATAGGCAAGTTCCTACCACGTCAACAAACATGGGTCATGGGGAAATTGGAAGAGACAAAACGGACGAAATGATTGAAGATGAATTCAGCTGTCAAAAAGAGCAAAATCTACATACGACAAAAGAAAATAATTCAGGTTTTATTTCTCCTGAACAACTTCTTGGGTACCCAAAGGCAGCACCAAGAAAATTCAGCCAAAATAACAGAAGAAAGAAGAGCAGTAAAATCGTAACGGACACTCCAGAAAAACTAGCTCTAGAAGAAAAACAAAAAGACAGAGAACGAAAATCTAGTATGAAAAAATCTAAAGCTACAAAAAGACAGTTATCAAAACTATTAGAAGATACAGATACAGATGAAGAAAACGCAGAATCTTTTGTTTCCGACGCTTCATCTGACAAGTGGGATCCTCTGGAGGATTTAGAAAATCAGCAAGAATTTTTAGGGCGACCAGACACAGATTCTTATGTCCTTGTAAAATTTAACAAAAATGTATTTTATATTGGAAAGGTCATACAAGTGTTCAAGGATGAAAAGGAATTTGAAATTAGCTTTTTACGTAGAGGTGAAAAAAACAGAAATTTTTTTGTGTTTCCCAATCGTCCGGACATATCTTCCATAACGGATGATGACATAAAATATGTTTTACCAACACCAAGAAGTGTCGGTGCTACCAAAAGACAGAATCGATTTCTGGATTTTGGCATCAGTTTTGATAATCTAGATGTTCGTTGAAATAAAATTAATTATTTTTTACTTTTATATTTTAAGAATTGTTAAATTTATCAAAATAAACAAATATATTACTGTTCAGTTTGTTGTGTAATTTCAATAAACTATTGTCTCAGAGAGGCCCAGGTAATGGGCCACTTTGATACAAAATGAGGATTTTTTAAAAAAATCAGAGATTTTTGTTTTAATAACTCAGGCTCAAAGTTGTTTCATAAATGAAGACGATATGAGTCGCCATAAGTACTGCAGGTAATAGACACTAACTGCCCATTCACAATGGACATAAAGACATAAGAACGAGCGCATAACATAATTTACGTTTTTGGTTTGTGTCTGGCTTATGCTTATCTACGTCCACAGTGGACAGAGTGAACTCTGTAAGAATTGTTACAGTATCTGCCCATTCACAATGGACATAAGGCATAACAAGTACATAAAGCTTACATAAATGCATAAAGTTGAAACGATGGAAAACGCGTACCCCTGTTCACAGTGGACGAACGTAATTCTTATGCTTATGAACGTTTTATGTAATCCTTGTGTGCGTACACAAAGTTGAAACAAGTTCAACTTTGTGCACGAATTATGTCAAAATTATGTTAAAATCTAGGGACTTTTGAATGCTGCTATTGAATTCCCTTTGACAGTTGGCACTTGGCACTTCACACCTTTGATTATATTATATAAATTATAATCAAAGCTTCACACTGCGAGTCTGTTCTGTACTGCGAGTTGTCAAGTTCGAATATCGTATGAAATTGTAGGTTAGATATTTTGATTGACACAGTTTGAGGTTAGCCGTTTCTATGTTTAGCCGGGAGTTATTCCGTTCTGCGTTTGCGCAGTTTAACAATTCTTACAGAGTTCACTCTGTCCACTGTGAACGTAGATAAGCATAAGCCAGACACAAACCAAAAACGTAAATTATGTTATGCGCTCGTTCTTATGTCTTATGTCCATTGTGAATGGGCAGTATTGATTAAAATTTTGTTTACAACAAGATTGAAAATCGTCTCAAAGTGGCCCATCCTCCCCTACCGATCGTCCAAACATGTATTGGTATTTTAGATTTTAACTTGCTGGCAACGTGGCAACACTGACTGTTAACTCACTATGTCAATCAATGTCTTAAGTGGTAAAGTGCTATGATAATTAATTATCAGTAAGATCTGGAGACCCTAAGAAACAGAAGAAGAAGAAGAAGAATTTTGTTGTGTGGTTAAATTTAATCCATAGAACACCGATCAGTCGTCGTTGTCCGAAATGGCAAGAGGTATCTTGTATTCTTGAATTGTAAACAAGAGAAAAAAAAATGTTTTTTTTAATTTTCAGATAAGATAGCAGTACTTTTAAGCAGTTGGATAGAAACACAGCATTGTCGATTTAAAAAAATGGTTAAATTTCATGGGAGAGTTAATTTGGAGGTAATTTAGTATGTATGTATATACATTTGATATTTAATGAATTAATTTAAGGGCTCCACATTCTATGCCTCTTTGATAATCAATAAAGACTACCTAATAATTGACCCGGACGATGAAACAAAGAATATCCATACTTTTAACGCATCTCGTCTTAACGGTACCCATGAATTCAGGACAAAAGGCATTAAAGTCACAAGGGGATTTAGAAAATCTAGTTTCTATATTAGGTTGAAATCAACCAGAGTTCGGGACATTCTTATTCAAAAACTTCGAACCTTGATAGGGTAAGAAAACATTCTAATCGGTTTTATAATTTTTGATTTACATAGTTCAAATGAAAATTGCATAATTAATATTTGTGTTTTTGCAGGGACGAATCCACAGGCTCATCTGAATCTACAGGTACGCCTGAATCCACAGAGTCTCAAGACCAAGATAACTAATTTCATTATAAATGTAGACATTCAAATAACGACGCTATTTTTATAAAATGTATTAGACTTTTATCAATATAGGTATTTAACTATATCGTTTTTTGCCTAAACTCTAAATCTATAAGGAACTAACCAAATTTTAACTTTTAACAAACGGGGTAAAATCATCAAAAAAACAAAGTGTGTTCTGAGGGGGCCTGCTAGTACAAAATTCAAAACAGGGTAAAATCTTTGAAAACCAGGTAAAATTCCTAATTTTAAATGTTTTTAGATTGGAAAACTTTATCAATTGAAGGAATTTATAAACACGGAGATGTTTTTACTCTTCTAATGGGATCATAAATAATTACATCTTAAAGTATCATTATTATCTTATTTTATTTATTTTTACATGCTCTAATATTCTGACGATTGGACGAAACCGTATTCATTTTTGTGCTGAAGTGCCCCCAACAGAAAAACAGGGTTAAAAGACGAATTTTTAGTGTTTTTAAAAGGGGAATTTGTTTGGGTCAAACTGTATTCTTGTTTGAAAAAACGGTGTATTTTCCTTGAAATGTTGACTTTTTTGAAAAAGCGCGAGTTCGAAAACTCTGGCAAATTCTTTAAAAAATTTAACTTTTTACAAGTTACTTTGAAAACCAGGTTAAAAGCATTAAAAATGTATTGTGTTCTGAGGGGGCCTTATTAGTAGTCTTTAAAATTTAGTTTTAAGTAAAATCATATGAAAAAATCTGTCTGTTTATGACTGAATAAAATTAGAAAAAAAGAGCATTCATTCATAAACTTTTATTCTAAAGATCTTGTGTTTATAAGAAATCTTGTGAAACATTTTTTAAATTAAAATAAAATTTAAAGTACTGCTGAAAAGAAAATTTAATCATTATCTAAGCTTAATTGGGTGCTAATTCAGTCCAGATAAATTAGGATAATGAAAAGGACTAACCTGAATAAAAGAAAGAAAAACCAATCACTTATTTGCATTTTATTAAACAAATGTAATGAGGTAACAAATTAGACATTTGTAAGAATGGTTACAATTTATCACAAAACAATTTGAGGCGAAAACAGTAGTAACTTTTATAGGTCAAATTAACGATTGTAAACTGTTTTTGTTAACTTTAATTTCTTTGTTTTCTACCAGTTTTATGTGAAAAAAAGCGTTGTTGTTTGAAAAATATTGCTGACACCGTAACTTATTATTATTAGACAACAGAAACCAAAACTTTTCGACTATGTTTCTAGTATGTGATTTATATAAAATAACGCTTGTCAAATCGTGCATACTGCCATAGTCATTAGTCTTGTTTTGATCGAATTTGTTCTATATAACTAATAGACTCACGTATTTAACACTTAAACATCGGGTATCAAGATTGTCTTAATTATAGTTATTGACAAAAAAGCTCCAGAATTAGTTTTCTATGCTTATCATGATAAATTTCTTTGTAAATTACATAGTTATTTAACAGTATAATTGCGCTACGTTAAAATAAATGATATGGTGTTAGAATATACAGAATGTACCCACGGTATTTTACCGCAATTAATTCATACATTCGTCCTTATCATAAAAGTGATGCCCCCAGTAACATTTTATATGTAATCAATATTGAAGTTCTAACATTTAAATAATATGGGTAACGACAGATTTTTTTTTTTAAAATCAATATTGGTTTTAAATATTGAATATATATTTATTTTCAATGTTTAATACTTATTTAGTTCAGAACATTTAATAAATGTTCTTCATATGAAAGGGGGTATGGATATAAAAAAAAACTTGTATGGAATACAATATAATATTTATTAAATACAAAAATACATTGTCACTGGAAATAACAGTGTATTTGAAACGTTGCGGCAATATTTATACATTTAAAAATTATTTGTCCTAGAACCAATTCGTTGAAAATTTGTACCGGGTGATTTTTTTTTTAATTTCTGCTTTTTTTTCAGTTTCACTGCTTATGTCAGCAGTGAAACTGAAACTGCTGGCATAAGCTTCATGGGCAGAAATTTAAAAAATCACCTGATGTGAAACACAATATAAATTTTTTAAACATAAAAATACACTGCCAACTTACAATGAAATAAAAATACATTGTCAATGGAAATAACAATGTTCTGCTACATTTCAATCGTTATACAGAAATATTTATTTAATAATTATTTGCTCTATAACCGATTCATTGAAAAGCGATATAATTAATTAAAATAAAAAAAATCATACCTCATGTTTTTTTCGATGAGAATTCACTCTTGCTTTTGTCTGCGCTTAATGAGGTCCTACCATTTTTTAAATTTCAGCAGTTGTGGCGTTTTTGTGACGTTTCCGTGTGGTACCTACAATTAAATTAACTTACAAATTTCGTAATTTTTAAAAAATCACATAACTTTACATATTGTAGCCTTGTTAATTGTGAGTTTACTAAAAGAGAGCTTATTTTTTCCTTGCCCTGAAAACTTGAAAGCAATTTGGTTCATTATTAATAATTTCTTCAAAATTGCATAGGTACCTACATGTTTTTTTACATCTTCTCTTCCTGGAAAATAAACATTATTATCAGTCTGAAACTAACTAGTTTATAAATACTAGGAGTTAATAATAAGAATAATAAATGCTTACCAATTCATTCAATTTCTGCGTATCTCCCGCAATTTCTAACTGGATTTCTTCTTTTTTTTGGTTGCGCCCGGACATTCATCATTTTGTTTCTACATTCATAATGTGCTTATATTCAGGAATATTAAACCTCTTAAATATACTTACGTGTTGAGAAATTGCATTTTCTGCATTGCTTGTAGAAGTGAGGTTATGTAGAATTAGTACTGTTTTCTTGACAAAACGGTATTTACTACACTATTCTGAATTTATCGCAGTACCGATAATCACAATTCACAATAGAACAAACACCATGAACTTACAGAAAATACTTTTTGAACCACCAACAACAACAGAAAATATGTATATGTTGCACATTGCGCAAACGCGTTCCAGCAGAGCAAGCGCAAATTTAAGTAAGTTTTACAAAAATGATGAATAAAATTATTATTTTTTGTTCGCAAAAATAAAAAAAATATTACTTTTTAATGAGCAATTAATAGTATGCAACACGATATTTTGAATAGTGTCAATTTCACAATAGGTGGTATTTTTTCAAATCAATTTTTAATATTGCTCCGATAAAAACCCTATGACATAAATTACCTACAAGTTGTCCCAACATGGTACTTTTTTTTCATTTTTGTTGTTCGGTATCTTGATAAAAAGACATTTCATAAATATGTAATATATGTTGAAATTCATATATAAATTTATAAATATAAAATGAATATTATATAAATATTTGTAATATCTAATCAACATTTAATATTATATCAATCTTATATAAATATTAGAAAAATATTGCTTGCTACTGGGGATGGTGTTAAACAATGTTTTACTTGTAGGCAATATTTTTTGTGTTTTATAGTGAGGGATTTTTTTTGTAGTCAAACGTATATGATATATTGCAAAAAATATATTTTCAGTACTTAGTATGTATACTTAATTACTTAAAATGATTGTGAGGCACGGAGGTAGAAGAGAGTCTCTTCTACCTCCGTGTTGTGAGGCAACACTGCATGTGAAAAGTACGTTGTTATATTGGTTGCATATGTTAGAAACTGGATCCAAACATAAAAGTGCAAATTAACTTTTTAAAAATCTGATTTGTTTTAGTTTAGTGTTATTTAGGTTTAGGTTTATTTATTTTACGAAAACTCCATTTTACAAAAAATTAACTTGATACAAAAAAAAAGAAAAAAATATAAATGAAATTAATATACATAAAATTAAATAATTCAACATAAATAGTATTCGTGGTATACAACTTAATTATAATTGTTATAAAACAACAAAACGTTATGCCTAAAACTAGAAAGTGTCGAATCAAAAATAGAAATCTCCCTACGCCCTGTTAAATCATTGGCAGCGAGCATCATTCTACGTAGAGGGTGATTCTTGACTAATTAAATAAACGACTTCTGAAGCTTAAAAAATACTTCAGGGCATTTGACAGAAAATCAGTAAATTATTAGGTATTATATCTTTTCAAACGTGTCAGGGAATCAGAACAAAAATGTAATTTTCTCTAATTAATACCTACGTAAATTTTGTAATGAAGCTCCAAAATTTGGGAACCAATCAATAACAATGAAAATTTTGTTGCTTTTATTCTCGCGTATTGTGCAAGCACACTATATGTGTTGCGTGATCCATAAAAAATGACAACTATTTGAAAAATTTGTGTGGGATATGTTGACCAATAATTGTCTTTTACTGCAGCTAGTGATAAGATTTACGACACAACTGTAATAATAAAGCAATCAAGCATTAGCTGAAGTCTGAAACTCTCACCTCGTTTACCCGTTTCCATTTAAATTTCCCTGGCATCGTTTCAAAGAAACTGCGGCCTTGTTGGCACACCAAGCCTTCCATTACTGTTAAGACGTATCTTCCAACATAATAAAGTTTTACCCAAGTCTTATCTCCATACCTACCTTTACATATTTAAGTCTAGGACGCTCCACCTGAAACATCGTCTGCTACGTACCTACAATGTATCTTATATGTAATAAAATCCCGAAAGTACCCGTCTGGGAGCCGTTTTGCTTCTTTCAAGTCAATTTCCAATCTCCTTCCTAAAATCAAGCGCTGGCATAAATATTGAGAAATTTATAAGACCTTAAGGCACACCGGCCGACCGTCCGACCCTTTCATCAATCAACAAGCCGGAAAAGAAAATTAACAGAAACAACCAGTGGCGTGGACATTTCATCAACATCACGCTAATTGGAAGCTAATTATTCGTGAATTACGACCGCGTTTCACGTACATTAGGTTTTATCGGGTGGATGTGGTAAAGTATTGTGGTGTACATTTAAGAAATGGGGAAAATAACTGTTTGTAGAGGGGTTTTCTTTAAAATAAAGCAACAAATTTAAGACATATGTGGATCTGACCATTTAATTACGAAATAACGTAATTGAAATGGTTAAAACTTAAAACTTAGGGAAATAATTAAAATCAATAACATCCTTAACAAAACT